AAAGGACTTAAGATATGATCGTGCATAGATCGTGTATCGCCCTATCGTGGATACCTTGACGCTGAAAGTTTTGCACGCAACTGAGCGCGTGACGCAGCTGCGCCATGTGCTCTTCAACCTCGAAGATTGCGAGGTTGTGGCGTTCCTTCTGAACGGTATGCTCCCGCCGCTCCTTCGCGAGCTCATCCTCGAGCTCTTTGATCTTGCTTTCATTTACGGTATTTATGACCTAGTGTGATAAGGGAAGCTGTTTAGTTTAGTCTTCAGGAAGGTACGAGATCGATACGACGTGTCCGCGTTTCGGGTATTTAACGCACAATTATTTTCCCAATTACAAAAAAATATAAAGCAACAGTCGACACTTTTACAGAATGTGCTTTAAAGATAATTTAATTTAATTCGAAGGATCGTACTTTTTTTTCTAATTTCAATGACAAGATTAATAGCTTAATCGAAATCGTTTATTATTATGGACAAACTTAAATTCGTTATGAAACTTTCAGTAGTATTGAAATAAAACATAAACACGCGTATATAAAATATATGTGATTTAATTATTAAAGCCTCAAAGTACCATGAATTCGTTTAAACGGAACAATTTTCCACGGGTCGGAAAGGAGATACTTTTAAACCTGCAGTAATTATGAAAGCAATTAAACCTATTAATACCCGAGAGCGGACACGTCGAAAAATAGAAAGCACAAACGGATATGCGAAGCGCAATGTGATTGTGATCGAAATGTACGAAATAAATGTTTGATCGGATGGAGAGAAAATGAAGAAAGAAGTAAATCAACAACTGTACGCGGGTGTGCCATGAAATTAAGAAAAATATTATTCAATTTTGACACTCGTGCATACAAACATACACCGCAAACAATTTAAGAGATTAATTTAAGTGATACAAATAACTTGGAAGTATAAGAAAAAGCGACCGAAGTAACACCACGCATAAACGATTAAATAAATAAATAAATAAACCACTAAACCATATTAATAAATAAATGAGTACGTCACGCCTACAACATTGTTCTTAATATCGTGTGTGCATACGAAGCGTGTGTAATTTGTGAAGCCAACGTTACTCCATTACGCAACAGCAAAGCGTGACTAAGTCAACCACTGTTAATTCAGATATCTGCAGAAAAATTTAAATCGCGAGAGACGAAACCGCTCGTATAAAGTGTGGTGACAATTTGTACAATTTCAAATTCAAGGGCGCTCGAGACGTGCAATTGTCGCGCGCGATTCTGTCTTTCAGATTGGCACGCGATCAGCGACGTCCAGGACGTCGTTACAGTGCACCAATTTAGTTTTGTTAGTATGACCGCAAAGTTAGTCAGCGACAGCGTTTCTTAATGTTTTATTTTTTTTTCTATCGCGCGTTCCACGTCAGTCGAATCTCGGATAGAACTGCGACGAAATGCAAAACGACATGGCTAGAGTGATGATTAGGCAAGCGGTGCCGAAATACTGCGTCAATCCTTCCACGGGCCTGAACCATCGGATACTCACGCTTTGCTCAGTTCTCTCTTTCTGAAAAGAAATGATAAGTTTGCCGAATTAACAGAAAAACTGAATGCGCTCTCCTCGCCTCCCTAAACCATACCAGATCTCTCTTTTTGCCTTTCGTTGAAACTCGCTTTCCGAATTGACATTTCTATCCCTGCCATTTTGTTGTCGGTATAAATCGCAAATTGATATACCACCCGAAATAATCCGTTGTAACGAAACAATTTTGCGATAGGATATGCTAAAAGTTGTTAGGCTAATTCTCGAGCTTCTTGTTGACGTAGCTAAGCACGTGTCGTAAGCACGTGTATATCACCCGCCACCGTTGTCCCGCGTGCGTACCGAATTGCGTATTTTATGACGAAAGCGTGTACAATGTTTGTTTCGAATAGTAACGGCTACCACCTAAGGTACCTCCCAGTATGATATATTTAGGATAAGAAATTAAATTCATAAGGCTCTGACGTGAAATCACGAATACTAAGTAATTAAAGGATATAAGAGCCAAGACAGGATGTTAGTGTCTAAATGATTTTAATTTGTAAATGTATTGCGAAAAATTTACCTCAGCCAGGCTTGAACCTGGACCTACATGCCTCGGCGGTCGAATTGGTGAGACGCCCGCGTAGACAGCGGGAGATCCACACAGTTGGAAAATTTGTGTTTTCTTGTTAAAAAAAATGCTGTCAAAATTTTTGTGTTAAATGTTTAACACCTTCGTGGGTTAATTTAACATATTGCTCTTGTGTTAATTGACCTCAAATGTAAAATTATTAAAATACTGAAAAGAAATGTTAAAACAACACAATGTGTACTTATTTTTTAATCTGACACAATACGTATGTTCTATTTTATTAGTGACAAAATTTATCTGTTCAAATTTACAGAATAAAATGTTGATTTGTGCAGGTTCAAACACTGGCAGAGGTAAATGTTTCGCAATAAATTAAAAATTAAAATCATTCAGACAACAGCCTGTCTCGGCTCTCATATCCTTTATTACTTCGTATTCGATATTTATTAGGACAGAAGTACATATTTTCAACGAATCGGGGTAACACAATAAAAATTCAAACGTTACTCGTCCTTATCAAGCGTCTAAAATGTCGCATGAAATTTCCCCTCGCGTCGGCTCTACATGAAAACAGAATGTCATTGCGATAATAAATCTTGCATCAATTTATTAATATGAAAATATACGAAATACGTACGAAATAATGAATGCATATGCGTGGGTGAGTATACTTACTAGGAGCTCCTAAAATGCGCTCTTTTTTTATTTATTTTTTTGTACTCTGCGTTTATTATGTCCGAGATAAATGATTATATGCTCGTGTGAAACTGATATGCTAACGACAGACGCGCGTACCTGTATGTCGTCTTTATTCACGGATTCCTCTTCGAAACGGAACAGCAGGTCCTCGCACTTCCGTTTCTCCTCCTCCAGCTGCATCGCCAACGCGCTCTTCTCGTCGAGGAGCTTGGCGACGGTGACTTCCGCCTCGCTGACCGTCTGCTGCATCTGCTCGCAATACTGAACATTATCCAATAGTAAAAATGCCGAGGGGGAGGGAAGGCGACTGGGACAGAGGGATTTCGAAACCGGGACGAAATTTCAGAACGCAAAGAACCGACGTCGGTTCAGCTTGTCAAATTGACGAGATACCTCAATTAACGTTACAACGCGAGCGGAGGTAAAAGTTCCGACACTCGTCCCCGTTTGAAAGTCCGCCCCCGTCCTGCGATTTGACCCTCGACGGTCTTGCGAGCGCCTACCTTCTCATACTCTTGCTTGATCGAGAGCGCCGACTGCTCCGCCTGGTCAGCTTGATTCGCCGCTTTGGTGACCCTCTCGCGTTCCAGGTCCCGCTCCTTACGCAGGAACTCGATCTCCTGCTGCTTCTCTTTCAAAACTTCCTAAAAGCACGAGCTGGGTTCAACGTCGCGCTAATCCAATGTCGCGACGACGCGAGATTTTAGCAGGGATCTCAGGAGAAGAGGCCGATGCGAAATGCAATAATAACAGCGATAATAATTTCATGTTTAATAATATCGCAATTGCGGTAAAAGATCCTATGTACAGTATACGTGGCAGAGCTATCGCAAAAGAAAAAAAAAAGGGAAACGCACGGCTAAAGCAATTTCTCTTCTCTCGATACACAATCTTTAAAAGCTGCCGAACAGACTAGGTAGAACGAAGATGCTTTTTCGTTTGCGTCATAGAAATTGTTACAGACATGCGACATCGAGCACAATTGATTCTCACGCATTAACATATCCTGGTAAGATTTTTACAAGAGCCGTGGGAGACGACACAACGGGGAGAAATAATGAAAACGATTCTCCCGCCGCGTGGGCTCTCGCAAAGTTTTTACGAGCGAAATAAATTAGCGGCCACTACGCGCCCGCTGGCTCTCCACTGGAGCTGAATATTAAAGTCCAAGAACGGGAACGAAGTGTGTCGCCGATTGAAAATCCTCCGATCGGTCGTTATTGCATTATGCAACAGCTTTGCCAAGATCGCGCGGCCGCCGGGTTTACGCGACGAGGTTTCAAATCGACGCGAGGCGTACCGCGTTCTGGATCGAGCGCAATTAGCAATACAAATCGCCGATCGATGCCTCGAGATCGCGGCGGCGAGGTCTGATTAATCGACGATGCTGGCGCCGCGGTTTCTCTGCCAACGCGCACCGATCCGTGTATACAATTACGTCGCGAGGAATCCTCCGAGATGAATTAATCTCGCACGGGGAAGAATTGAACGATCGAGCGCAATCACGGCGACTTGTCAATTAATACGCGGACGTAGGAGAGATACTCACCTAGAAGCCGGAGGACGTTACGAGGAAGGGGAAAACGTCGGATTTTATTGACAATATATACAGAGATCGCTATGTGTTATAAGCTCCGACGGCGCGACGAGCGGTAACAATAAATTAACGGCAAATAATTAATAAATAAAATCGCAGTCGGCAGCCGTTAACGATCGCTCGCAGTCGAGTCTCGTTATTCAGCTAAACGTCTCGCTAATTATCCTAATTAACATACACTCGCGTCGCAACGCGCTCGTTAATCTACGTCTATTATCTCTACGGGGTACACGAACTAATTGGGATCGATGGGAGAGAATCGCGGGAATGGCTTATCGGCGATCGCTTCTAATTGGCGAGGATAATTAATCAGGAGCAATATCAGAGTTACGATCTCACCTGCAGTGAACTTCGAGCAGGTGTCGGCGTGCGCATGCCAGGCCTCTGGAATATCGGGGCGTAGCGGAAACACAAGAGAAAACCAACAAAATAAAGAAAACGTGCAACCTCTCAACAGCAACCTTAAGTAACAATCAATGCACCACCAGTCACAAAATCACGCGCGCTACGATACAGGTCTCGATCAACGAGTCAGTGTTAAAGGCTGCCTACGAAGCGGCAGGCAACGACCAAACTTTGCGGCGGGATTGACCCTTAAGTAACTCCGCAGACGAAGGACTCTGACCGCGAAGGATTCGACGCGAGACGAGACTCGAGGAGAAAGGAAATACTTAGACACGTCGGGACAATGAAAGAGTATAACTGGAGAAAACCAGGCGGAATTTTGAGAATTCAGTTGAAGCGTTTCATGCAAAAACGAGCTTGAAAATTGCGAGATAAAGTAGTTCTTTGCAAGGTTCGCTCCAGCCCCCTGTAATCACAACGCATAAATCATTCTCGCGTTGAACGCTTCTCACAATTCTCGCGCACGATCCCTCTCGCAAGCGCAGTCGTTTGCAGCTACACGAATAAAAAGAGCCGCTAACTCCGTCACGCCGAATCCTCCGTAAACCCGTTTGAAGGTAACGTCTGCGCCACCGGCTGGCTGCACGAAGGATCATGATCGAGTTCAACTTCGACTTCAAAGAGGAAGAACTTAAGGGTCAATTGCTCAGCTAACGACAAAACAACAAGAACAACAACAATACTACACGGCTATGACTAATAATAAGTAAGGGGCCAACAACTTTGGCGGCGAGCTGCAGGATAGCTGCGCGTCCTCTCGCCCCCTCATTCCGGCATGGTGAACCTTACCCTCGCCGTGGTGGTACCGCTCGCCGGGCTCGTCCTCGCGCTGGTGACGCTCGAGGCGAGGCTGATGAGCGATTCGCGCGAGCCGCTCTTCTTCTGGAGACCGGCGACATTGGGGCTCGGCTTGTGCACCACGCACAGGGACGGTCTCTTGCTGGACGGCGATCTGCTGACCTTGTGCACGGGCGCGAACAAGCCGTGCTTGGGCGAGCACTCGAAGTATCTGGATCAACGGGTGGGTTTAGTTTCGCGGGGAACGCGAGTCGCGAGCGCTAGGGGGAGGATGGGATCATCAATGCGAACTATGTCTCGCGGCGCATCCCGAGCGTTCCGCGCGTTATCCCGTCAAGTATTAGATCCGCGGGGACCAGCGAATTAAAAGAGGTGGCTTTGTAGATTCCGTGAAAAAATAGCAACTTTCCTCTTTCTACTTTGAGAACCTATCAGACAATATAAATCGATACTGACGCTTAATTGTTAATTTCAAAGATTTTTCTGGACCCTTTGGATTATTCCGGCAGAAGTTAAATTCATTAATAATACCGTTCAACGAAGCGCTAAATAAACTCTGCGAAACGGGAAAGGGGAACTTTTAGCAAGTAACACACGATGTAATTAAACGGAGTAATACGCTCTCAATGTAAACGACGCAACAGTTTTTCTCTTGCGGGAACGTTTGAAAGCCTCAGGATTATTTTAGACCGCGGTCCACTCGACGCCTCGAGGCGCCTTCTCCTTCATTCTTTATCGAAAGAGAGAAGAAAAAAATGCTTCGATCCGCAGCATCGAGTGGACCCGCAGCCTTGAACGATTGACGAGGCGGACTTGATACCCTTTCGTTCTCTTTGCTCTGCGCCAAGGTGCTACCGAGGTTCAACGAGGAAGATGCACACCTTTTGTCATTGACGGACCCGTCATTCTTGCCGACCGGGTCGTCCAGCTCCACGCCGCACCACTCGCCCGCGGCGAATTCCGTGGTACCCTGATATCTGAGCACGCCGGTTTTGCTGCCCTGGCTCGACGACACTATCACCCGGTCACCTATCCTCAGCTCGCCCCTCTGAGTCGTGGACGACAGGCTTGTCGTCGATGCATCTGCATTCACAGTTTTCACAGCGAATCGCGATCATTATTACGTAACCACTCGCGCCGGTTAAGGAACCAGGAGAGCAAAGTTTCGGTCTACCCCAATTAAAATTGAGCCGTCTCCTCGTTTTCTACACGGCGAGACTAGATTTCCGTCTGTACAATAGCCAAATTATAATTCCGTCCTTCTCCTTTGCTAAACACCACTTAGAGCTGAACCCACGTACAATTGGTGTTTCTACAAGTACATGTTTCCCCCTCCCCCCCGTTTATATATCTTTATTGTACCTCCTGTTTTTCTTTATTATAAATTTATCGGTCGAGTCCTATGACTTTCTACGGTATAAATAAGCTGAAGTATTTCCTTTTATTGTACACACAGAGGAAAATCAGTTACTTCTCTATTCTACAAGACGAGAATGAACAATTTCCTACGGGTGTGTCGATCGATCTGTCCAGTGTATTTTCAATCGATAAACTTATTGCTGTCGAAATTAAATAGCTCCTTTACTCTGTCTTCAAAAAAAAAAGAAAATTAAATTACTCCGTCACGTTTATAAATACAAATATCTGCAAACGTGTTTCTATCGATAAGCGCGTTATTCGCGAAATTAAATTATTACAAACAATAAATTAAATATCTTAAACTACGAGACGCTGCATGCTGGCGAAACTAAATTATTTCCGTGCTACGTGCCGAACGAAAAGCTAAATTAATTTCTTTTTTTACATCGATTCGTGTTTACTTTCCACAGTAGAGAGCGTTCTGCAAGCACTAATCGCATTGCCGTAATTAAAGCAACGCAAACTAACTGAAAGTAACTTGTGCTCCTCAAACCTCCAAGGCCCACACAGCATAACCAGCTACGATTAACTCTTTCACCTCACCTTTTCTATTACTTCAATTTTAATTTTAATTTCAGCAAATAAGCTTTTAACGCGTATATAACAAGCGTATAACTACTCTCTCATAAGCTTAATAACTAATCTTTTTAAATATTTATCTTAGAAATTTATCTTAGAATAAATAAAATATCTAATGGAATAACATATATGATATATATTATTCCATTATTATATTTGTATATTGGGAAATCTCTCATTGCAACTTTGTATCACCATCGCGACTATTGTCCGGACAAGAATTCTCTGCTTTTGAATGTTAAACACAAATATTAATACCGCTGGACTGTATAAATCTGCGGTGGTATAATTTGTTTTAAAAAAAGCAGTACACTGCTTGCAAAAAAGATTCGATAGAACGAAATTGAAGGCTATTTTAGATCGAGAGACACTTTTCTCTCACAGCGCGAGAGAGGCGAAAGGGTTAAGGGCAAGAGACTAAATGCAATCTGTAGACGGTGTTTGGCGTGCGTTCTCTGTGTGCAGCGTTAGAAGGCGTCTACGGACGTGGCGAATATCTCTTGTAGCGATCCTTACTCAGTGACGACGACATGGATTTGTTGAGGAAGCCGCTCCTGGTGCTGTCGGGCGGCGTCAACGGCGTGATCTGATGATCGCCCAGCGGCAACCTGGTGAGTCTGGTGAGCCTCGAGAAGATCCCTCTCTTCGGCTCGCACTGGAAGTACCGGCTACCCGCCACTGAACCGTCGTTCTTCCCTGAAGTTCAAGGTTCGGGAACCTGAGGTTCACCTTCGCTCTTTCTCGCCGCCGATTTAACTCTCTTTGTCGGCCGAAAAACTTTCTTTCGTTCGCAATTAATGGGACTTGCTGTTAATCTCAGTTACAGCGGTCTGGGTTACAATTAGTCAGAAAAATTCTTTACAAACACGATGTTTTAAGTTGGAGAATCGGTTTTGGAAGTTGGGGCGATTTCTTGGCCTTTACAATTCTTACGTTCGGCTAAGATCGTCACGGTGGTCCTTACCGATGGGCTCGTCCAGGACGACTCCTGCCCAGTCTCCGGGGGCGAATTTCGTCTCGCCGATATAAGCGATCGTGCCCGGTTTCGTGCCGCCGACCCATACTCGATCTCCAATTTTAAAGCTGTCTGTATCCTCGGTTAGGACGACGCTGGTATCTACGCGGGACCGAAGAGGATTCTCTTTGAAACATCGACCGTTGACAACGCTAAGTTTCGAAAATGTGACTTTAAAGTCCCAGAGACAGTTGAGCGACAAACAAATCGCTATAGGCGGGACGCGCGTTTAAGAAAGTTGACGGTTCAGTTGTGCCACGATCACTTGCGATCTCGATTTTCACTCTTTAAGAAATTTCTAAAATCGGTCCTTTCCGTAACCAAAAGGATTTAAAGTAACTTTAATCTAAAGTATGTTTCGAATAATCCGCGATTGAACGATGAGATTCTTCTTTAAGAGAATTTTGGTTTCAGCTTCAGTTGCAGACTAAAAAGCCAATATTTTACCATCGTTAAAAGAAAGAGATGTACCGAATAACAGTACACTGCTTCTTCAAAATATTTTACAAGAACCGTCTACTCCAATTTGGTTGAAGATTCAAAGAATATTCAGTAACTCCCTGGGACATTCCACAACCTTAATGTCACATTAGAATACGGATTTTATTCATTATTACTACGTGTTTTCATATTACTGTGCAATACTACGCATGCATATAAAATATGTATAAAGTACTACAAATGTTCTAAACGCAAAGCAAAAGCGCCGTTAACACGAACAGACGGATACAAACGCGTCGACTATTACAATAACATTTACAAAACCTACAGCTATGCCCGTAACAGTTCACACATATCCCTGGATATCGCAAAAACAATCTAATTTAAAACGATCTAATTAAAACTTCGTACTTATTTCATAAAGTTTTGGTATACACGTATGTGTTTAAAAGTGTTCCATTAACGAAAATCTAATTGTAAGACGTTCCAAATGTTGAACAGGCATCGAATATCGACTAATAGATCTAATTTCAAGTTTTATTAGCTTTACGAACCTAAACTAATTGTCTATTATGAAAAAATCACCCGCTGTTTCTTGCGGACAGCTTCAAGAATTGCGTTCTTGGAGTATGAAGAAAAACTTGATTGTATGCGGCTTACCTGACCCTCTTCGCAAGCTAGCCTCGTTTATTTGACGGCCGTGCGACTCCCAGAGAGGCTCCATCTGATCTGCCGTTGTCATGCAAAATAACGCAAATCATAGCAAAAAAAAAAAAGGACGGGAAAAAGGGACAAAACGGAGCGTATCTCGGCGCGAAAAATATCCCTCTCTGCCGAGAGTTCATTAAAACTTCGTCCAATCAATGTTGATTGGCAACCGCGCTAATGATAATCCGCGACAATTTACTACAATTACACTATAATAGCGAAATAACATTAGTCTACGTGCAAGCTAATAAATTTCAACGGTAACTGGATAACAAAGCTATTAACTAAATACAAATTAATCGCGCAAACGGGTGTATGTAACTAATGTTAAATGTAATATATTTATATAAAATTATAAACAGTTAAGTGTAATATATTTATATAAAATTATAAACAGTGGAGATATTCAATATATTTTAAATCCCCAATACTTATAATTTTAATTTAATACTTGTATCTTATGTACTTTTTCATTTTGTTTCACATGCTCTGTATTTCCCAATTTGCATGCCGATAATAATTTTGAATGAAGACACGTAATGACATCGGTGCGAGGTTGCAAAGTTGATTATACAACGCGCTAAGTTAATTACTAATTATTATGAAGCGACGTTAAAAGGGGGACGACGAGAGGTTATTCGGCGCGAATACGGATCGGGGCTTGGTCCTGTAATTGCCCTTGCGATAATCGGCATCGGAAGTTGATCACAATCGACTCAAGACAGAGAGTTATGTAAACGAATCATTAATGACGAGTCTGGGTGTGTCCAGATGACGCCGATAAGATCGGACGATTTCTAGCGCAGTCATGCAGTCATGCGAGATACTTTTTGAATGGCCGTGTTACATTTTAATAAACTAGCGAAAAGCATCTTTCCGCCTCAATATTCGTAATAAATTTATCTTTGCTTCTATTCCAGCTGCATCCCAGCTATTTCATATTATATAACGACCAACACTCGTATTTTAAATATCAACGTATTCTCAATGCTTGTGTAATCTTCAAAAATTCATCGCGAATTTAGGTGTCCTTCTCGCTTTCGAGATATCTACAGTTTCTGGTTATGCGACATCTTTTTTGAATGGCGCACGATCGTTTAAATCGTGTTTTATTTTAATGAACTATAGCGAATGAAGAACACGCTTTCCGCCTCGATATTCGTAATAAATTAACCCTTGCTTCTGCATCCCAGCTGTTTCATATTACATAACGAATAATTCGTACTTTTAATAAGTGTCAAAATATGCTAAATGCCTATAACTTTCACAAAATTCACCGTGAATTCCTCCTGCCGCTTCCGCGACGTCTACAGTTTCCGGTTTCCTCGCGTAGAAAATCCCGCGGCGACATTGCGAGGCTCATCGCTCACCGTCGCCGATGTTCCCGTGAAAAAACTCCGCAAAAGGAGTCGCCGGTACGTCCGGGTATCGCGGCGCGATTCGCGATTTAATTAATTACTTATGGAAAAGCGCGTGGGCGCGCGTGCCTTGTCGTAGTAGGTCGGTCGCGTGGGTCGGAGCCTCTGTTCGACGAGATGAAATCGCGATTACGCGGCCGCAACCGCCGAGGTATCTCCTCCTCCTCCTCCTCCTCCGCCGCCGTCGCCGCCGCCGCCGCCGCAGCCGCCGCCGCGGCCGAGAGAGGCGTAATGTATCCCGGCGATTTTATCACCATGCAATCTGCATTTAATGCGCCTTTTTTAACGCGCACGTTTGCTCTCAATGACGCGCGGTTACGGCCGATCGCACGGTGCGCCGATCTCATCGAAGCGTCAGAATGAAAATGCGCAGCTGAACGGCTACAATCTTCATTTTAATCTCATTGACAATGTTGTTAAAGTTCTTTCATAAAATCGACACCACTCGAGTGATCTAAGAAACAACGAAGAAGGTGAAACGAGAGGAGGCGAGTCTCTTGAGCCGCGATAAAAATTTCAAGGGGAAAGTTTAAAATTGGCAAAAGACGTGTTTTCGGTGTCAAAGTTCGATCCTCTCGTCCCGGGACGTCCAGGAAACGCGTAATAATTTATTCGAGGGGTAAACCGCTGAGGGCATTGTGGTGTGGCACAAATTTGCTGCATTACTGGGCATTGCTAGGTATTTTTTGGGCATTAGTTTGGGCATATTAGGCCTTGCTGGGACATTATAAAGATAAAATAAGATAAAACAAGATAAAATAACGACATATGATTAAGGCCAAGTGTTAACAAGCTTTTCGTTTAACAAGGCATTAAAGTTATTTTACTGAAGATTATATGATTACATTTGGACTCTAGGATTGCGTACGCGTTAAGATAAAATAAGATAATAAGCTAAAGTAATGCCCGCTGGGCATTAGTGGGCATTGGTGTACAAGATTTTGGCCAGCGCGGTTTCCCCCTCGAATTTATCATATGCGAAATCTCGCGCGATGACGGTACGCGATTATTAGAGCCATACGCGATGATTCTCAATGACAGAATACACTGTACCTTTTAATTCGAGCGTGTTGGCCGTGATTAATGTACCGATAATGTACGTGATCTGACGTAGTCGTGGCGCCACGATTCGTCAGCGGGTGTCGAATTATGCATCTCGCATGATTAAATTACTCTTACATGAATTATTCCTCTATGTCGTAAAACGTTATCTATTACGCGTAACAATACTGCAATAATGTAAATCCCACTTTATCCTTTTCCCTTTGAAAAGTAATGCAATAAATCTTAAACTCATTTAATCGCAATTATAGATTTCGAGCTGACATTTATTTTCTCGAAATTCCGTAGAAACTGCTCGCAAAACTTAGCGTCGAAAGCAGCGCGGACATCCTAGTCGAAAACTTCGAATTTTATGAAAAAAAACATGACGTACTTTAAGAGAATCGACGCGACATTCTAGCCGAATTTTCCACGGATTCGCCGGGTATTATCCGATTATTTTAGCTCATCGATCATCCCACGTTCCCCTAGGGTTAATAGTGTCAAGTACCCCGATCACTCGATACGACACGGCTGTAAGAACGGCTATAGGAACTGCCATTGGATATACGGGCACTTTGATCCCTCATGCGTGGATATCCACGTACGTAAACAAGTTTAATAGCTGTTGAGAGGAAACGTTAGCTCTTACATGTAATTCGTCCCGCGCGTTATAACAAGACGTTGTAATTATGACGTGGCGAACGTGATGAAACGGTTGTAAGCTATGTGGAAATTAGAGATATCTTTGTTTGCTCAATTGCGAAATCGCTGTGCAAGGAAGCTGAAAAATTGAGAACAAAAAAAATATATATAATGTATAAGTATAAATCAAATACGTATAAAAGTGTATAATTATCTTGTTCTCTACACTGTAAAAAAAGGTATGTAGCGATTACACTGTTAATAACGGAAATATATAAATGTATATGCTTTTACCAAAAAAAATTTTACTCTTTGTGTAAATGATAAAAAGTTACAAAAAATTGTAAGATTTACACAATCAAAAGCAAGTAGTTTACTTATCATGTAAGATAATAATTTTACTTACAAGGAGTAAATTTACTGATGTATGTAAACCTTTAATACATGTACACCTTTAATACATGGTCCCAACATTATCCACTGTAACAATTGTAATTTTATATGTAATTTTTTACAGTGTATTGTGTATTCTTTTGTTCTCGATTTTTCAACTGCAAGCTCGATATGTAAAATATACAATTATATTTATACATAGAGGCAAGTTCCCTATTATGCGATAGGCTTCTAACGCGAGATAGGTTTTCAACGTCCAGGTTCAATCGCAAATCTTCATTCGCGACGATTACTCGATCTAAACAGATCTCACTTCAAGAGCAACAAATTCATGGTAGAACCAATAGACGACGGTTGTTAATTAAACAGAAACCCTGCCATCTCACATTAGAAACTTGCCTCATAACAGGGGACTTTCCTCTAGGTATAATTGTGTATTTTATACATTCGCAGGGGCAGAGCGGGCGAAACGAGTCGCAGCCGATCGCGTTACGGCCGCGTGCTACCATTTTCGTAGACACGGCACACGTGTGCCCACGGTTTTCATATTTACCGAAGACATAATAAGCGGCTTTCGTCAGACCACGGAATTCGAATGGATGGCCTTAAAACCGGCTTCAACGGCGCCCCGTGCAAACGGCAAGAGCAGCTCCGAAACGAGTGTAGCCCCGCGCGGCTACGCTCATAAACCATTTATCTCTCCATATTTAGCCGATGGTGTCACGGTTACCGCAGAACACCATGCCGGCGACGATTGCGTCAGAGCGAGGCGCCGCACGACAGAAATCCTTTGCCTTTCCGTCGCCTTAACGCGGTTAATCGAGTCCTTGCTCGAAAGGAAAAGACTAATCGCGGGAATAGAACGCGAGCGATCGGAAGATCGGCAAGGCTGCCGGCAAACCCGTACGACAAAGTATTCAACAATTACATGTCTTTGAGCCGCAGTCGATTACAAGAGAATATACCGGCGTCCCTTTGTTTTCGACATCGTTAACATTGCACCAGACAAATCTCGTTATAATTGCGTCTAGAATTTATATCCTTTTTACGAATTATTCGAGAAACACTACCACAGCTGGCATTACAATCCGTTTCAATTGGCCAAACAGATTTCCTCTGTCAATTTGCACCTCGCGTTAATCTGGCGAATTTTAGAAAACTGGGCGCTCAAGTGTAATTTTGATTTTCGAAAAACATTCGCGGCGCGAGAGACGTTCCTCCGAATTCGATTTAGAATTACGAGTACGCGAGGGGAATTTTCTCTTAAAATTTACCCTGGAAATCGTGTAATCGTGGCATTTTCAAAAACTTTACGAGAGTTTTCTGAAATTTTACCGTACATTTTACTAGTAAATTTTCTATGGAATTAATTATTATAATTAATTAATTGTTGCAATTACTATCAAGCGTACGAAGAATATTTCATTCAATATATTATAGCAGTAATATCTAAAAAAATTAAGGCATTCTTAATCACTTTAGTTCCTTTCATTTTTTACTAGTAAAATGTACGGTAAAATTTCA